CATATTTTTTTTTTGACATCAGATATTTGAAGACGAAATGAGATGTTTAGAGAAGACAATAAATTTAAAGTTCACTCGGCTCGGCTGGGATTCGAATTTCAAATTCAAATTTTCGAATGTTATCGAATCGATATAATTCCAAAATATTTTTTTTATACAGCTTAAAATGGCAAATAAGCTGACGGCTCACCTGATGGAAAGTGATAACCGCCGCCTATAGACATGGGCAGTACCATGAACATAACAGAGTGTACTGTTTCGCCAATGATATCCCCCATGCGTTGCCATTCCTGAGGACTCAGGTACTCTGTAAATTCACGCCAGGGGTGGGATACCTTTCAAACCAAAACACAGTCATGCAAACACAACTGTTTTACGGTTGAAACACGAGTGGGACAAAGGTTCTCAAGCAAACGATTTTTGTACAAAGTCTGGTTTAAAAATAGCTCGATTTTCATTCATTAATTTAATAATTTCATAACTAACTATTTAATGGTACAGCAGTTAAACCCTGCGCCTGCCGTTGGTTATAAGTTACCTGTAATGTACACTCATGAGATAGCTTTTTTAATACATGATAATGGAATGGTAACCCCGTCTGCGCTATCGGTATACGCTGGCGGTACACCAGTGATAATAGGTGAGAATGAAAAGGCGGGTTAGTTAGTCTGTAATGAATACACCTGGAATTCAACACGATGGTTTCCAGGGAAGACCACGTAGAGGTTGACCTGACCTGACACATTGGAGAGTTTTGCCAGTACCTGCCACGCTTGGCAGGCGGGTTTGCAACCGCAGTTAGGCTTTGGAGATGTTTTAAGAGGAACGCTGCTGGCCATTCCTCGTCGTCCCTTAGTCGACTCTTACGACACCTATGGGGAAGGAAGGAGTGGCTTATTCTATATCGGGACCACACGCTTGTATGATAATATTTAGTGTCATTTAATTGTTTAATTTTATATTTTAATTTAACTCATATTGCTTATAACAATTGAAGTATTAATTACTATGCCACCTCTTATCGTACCGCTCGCCAACGCCATGGAATTCATCCTTACACCTTAAAACCAAAATGGTCACGTACAGTACAGTTTCGGAGAAATTTTCACCCACGAATACTCAGACTGTGGATTGAGCTACCTGCCGATGTTTTCCTTGGAGATTACAGTATGGGGTTCTTCCAAAAAGACATATTAAAGTTTCTTCAGGATCAGCAACGCGCACGTGACACCTAGGGGTGTTGCAAACGTCCATAGGCTACAGTGACCCTTTACCATCAGACAACCTATATGCTTTTTTGCCACCTGAGTGGTATAAAAAAATAGGTTTTTAGCACAAAAAGAGACAATAATAGTTTAATAGCATCACACAAGCTGTACGCTTGTTTGCCACTTTTGTGGCATAAAAAAAGAGTATTAATTGCTTGAAATAATGTAATTTTTTCCTGTTAAATTATTGATAAACTAAAAAGAGAGCGTGCCCACCGCCACATACATATTGACAGAACAAACAAAAGTAATATAGTTACGAACGTATTCTCAGATCGGGTCCGGAAAAGTGGGTGTGAACACCATCGAACCGGAACACCTTGTAATGGGCACCGCTAAATGGTTTTAGGGTTGCCACTAATTGTTTTTTAATAAAAAAAAAATAAAAAAAAATCTCATTTGAATGAGTGATCAATTTCTTTTCTTTTGCGTCAATTATATAGTATATAATTGGTTGGTTTTATCATTGGTTGAAATAATAAAGAATAGAAGAGGCAAAATGCTGGGCCACCTTATACGAGATGACGGTTTTTTAAGAGCATAATAGAAGGAAAGATAGAGGGCAAAAGAGGAAGAGGAAGACCGAGGAATAACTACATGGGACAGATAAAGGAAACACTAGGCGTCATGTCGTATAGGGAGATAAAGGATATGGCCTGGGATAGAGCTGGCTGGAGGAAGATGCATGAATTAGTTGCAACGACAAGAGCAAGCTCTTAAATGAAAAGAGAGATATAGTACATTATATGAAAGATATAAGAATATTATATTGTGTTGCTATATAAGAAATTAAAACTTGGTTCGAAGTATTTAAATGTTTTTAACAGAGAATTAATTGATAGACGTTTGTTACTCTTTTACGCAAAAACTACTGAACGTATTTGAATGAAATTTGGTACACAGGTAGTTTACATTCTAACCTAACTATTAACTCCTAACTCACACATTTTCTTTATATAATAAATCACGTGAGTGAGGCCGCAGTATATAGTTAGTTGTAAATACTTTAAACTACATTTTACAAATTTTTTTATACAACTTAGAATGGCAAACAAGCTGACGGCCCACCTGATGGTAAGTGGTAACCGTCGCCTATAGAACATGCTAATATAATAAATGTAAAAGTGAGTTTGATTGTTACCTTATAACGTCTTAACGGCTTGACCAATCACTACGAAATTTTGTATCCACGTGCCACGTGGGATGGAAAAAAATTTATCCCAGTTATAAACATGACCGGAATGGTCAAGCGGTCGAAATAACATGTAAAAGCAAGCGTAATATAATTAAATATACACGGGTCATATTAAAACGATCATAAGGACGTAACTAAAGTAAAAGTTCCACAATATAAAGAAATATTTAAAATATTTTAATGATTATATATTTTTATTTTATTTAAAAATGTACATAATTCCATATTTAGCATAAAATATAACTTAATATTAACCAGAAAGTCCGGTGAGCCACTCCACGTTACTGGTCAGAAATAAATTTGTAAAAATTGTAATATAAAATGATTTATGGACGTAACGTGACCAAGGATCTTGATTATATATTAAATAATAATAATAAATAATGGTAGTAGCTAGCGAATCGTAAGATTGGAAATTGAATAAAAAATTCGAAATATTTGCCAACAGCGAGCTACCCGTGTCATCGGCTAAAAAGCGATTTGTCATCGAATAAGGTAGCAAAAGTATGAATTTATATATTTATACATCTTAATTGTTTGAATGGCAATGTATGGAAGGTATCATAAACGACACGTCATACTCTACTATGTCCATGGCGCTGTTTATATTTATAAGCGATGGTTACCATTCCTTTTTTGCTTCCCGTCAGCTAGGCTGGCAGTTTGTTTGCCATTCTAAATTGCATAAAAAAATATTGTTTAAATCATTGTATCCCGAAAAGAGACAAAATTCAAATTGGAAATGTCGCAGACATAAACTCTGTCGATTGAAAAAAAATGTCAACGAAATCGGTACATAGCATATAGAAAAAAAATTATTAAATTGAGAACTTTTTTTAAAGTTAGTTAAAAACATCTACGGATAAATTGTCATTGACACTTGCTTTTGGTGGAACTCCAACAGACTCGTTTCAACTGTAATTATTATATATTATACAAACAAAACTAATTATATATATTATAATAACAAAGTATCTTTTTACATAAAGCTGACAAACTAACCTTATACTTCATAATAAAATATCACTGGACGCAATATGTACACAACGCCATCTAGTACCAAAATAAGGTATTACAAGTATGATACTCGTATACTAAACTTGGATAATTGGTATGAGTACATTAAAAACTCCCACACCAATACAATAAGACACATTTATGTAAACAAATTTCTGTGAAACTACTACTTCTCGTATCTAAAACATGTCATTCATGGACGTTTTAAAATTCATATTATTATAGTTATTTATTTTAAAAGATAAAAAAGATACGTACCGTATAATTTTATCATAATTTCTTAACGTTTTCTTAGACATTATAATAATTTTAACGTACACCAAAATTCATACTCGTAAATTGACGATGAAAATATTATATTTCTCACTATGATTGTTATCAATCTACGGCGATGAATTAAAATTCTTGATTCTGTTTTTAGGAGTTTGATGTTATCTTTGCTTATTATATTTTATAAAAAAAAAATAATGATACTAATAAACGAGAATCAACTTTATGCCACTGTAAAAGTGTTCAATTTACCATGTCAAGAGAACAGTTCGATTTTCAAAATTTCAATTTAAAACCGGCTCCATCGAAGCTCATATAAAATCTGCACAGGGATCCGCTATATTCGATTATTAACTGACATAACAAGAAGCAGATTCACAAATCATATCTATTTTTAATGTATCGTCGTCAGCTTTGAACTTATTTTAATAGGATTTAATTCCAAAGTGAAATAAAAAACTCCATGAAATAAATAATTTTGTCCCAAATTTTTAAATTCTTACTAATAATATAAATGTGAAATTGAGTTCCTTTATTTGTTTATTTTATATTATATTTAGCGCTTTGACAGCCCGACCAATATCGTGAAATTTAAATATATATGTAGTATTCGTTATAATGAATGATATATCAACCAACGTAGACCGATCACGTGAATTCGCGAGTTAATAAAAAAATATGCAAAGATAAAAATATCTCAGTTGTGACAGCCCTGAAAGTGATGCGGCGTGTGGCGGAGTGGCAGTGTTGTGACCAACAAAAGCTGCTAATTCGTTCGCTATCAATCCAACTCGTACAAGTGCTAATTTGGAAACTCGGAGACTTTCGCCCGAGACTGTTTGAGCGATCATTATCAACGATACAGCGTGTGTACATCCCGCCTTATATGTAAATGTTGTTCATAGAGAAATAGACAAAACTGGTACATTCTGCACCATAAAAAAAAAAGCAGACTTAATTACTGACAATTCTTATTATGCAACTTAGAATGGTAAACAAGCTGACGGCCCACCTGATGGAAAAAAAAAACCATCTGAATAAATTAACTTAAAATTTAAATATTTTTAAAACAAAAGACTTAAAAACTCATTGGATACTGTCTTATAAAACTAAATAAATCTTTAATTTAGTAAAGTAATAAATTATTATAACAAGCATAAGGTGATCAAAATGTTCTATATTTATAATTTTTACTTTCGAAATCATTTTATAATCCAGAGTATAAGTCTTATCTCTCTCTCTCTTTTCAGTCATATACTCTTGACAGAGTGGTCGTGGTTTTTATAATGATAGTGGATCGTCGATGAGGCCCTCCTTCGCGATCGAGGTTCTCGCAATATGTCTCCATCTACTTCTGTTCGCAGCCGAGCGAGAGCGTTCCACAATATACTGCTGTGTGGCCGTTTTGATAAGGTCAGTCCTTCGCGTTGGTAATCTACCCTGAGAACGTTTGCCCCGTACCGACCTTTGGACAATCAGATGTTCCATACAGTTTTCATTCGGGATGGTATGGCCGAAGTACTGTACACTATATATAATAATCTCGGGAATTCGCACATTCCCTGACGGGGGAACAGAGAAACCAGTCCGGGACTGTTTGGCCCCTCTCTGGTGGTTTGTTTACGCCATGCGTAACTACGCATGTGTCATCGGGTGCACTATAAGTTCTGGCTTTTAGATGGTCATCACATTTGAGCCAACCGGCTCGCTCAACGCGGTCTTCGCCTGCCGATTGAGACCCCATGGGAGGAGGCCCGGCAAACTGCGAGATATATGAATGGCCGGCGGCACTGTGGTATTCAAACTATATATAATAAGTTTTATAAATGAGCTTATATAACAACCCCCAGTCCTTCACACCTGTCTTGTCCATGACTCACCGCTGTATGGGTTGAATAAAAAAAAAGTACCATATACCACCCATTACCATCACAAGCCACCGCACGCCTGGTCTATTAACGCGATCGTAACTCGGAAACGTCTTTTGTACTATGATTTTTATGCTAACCGTATTTGAATGCGCATGAGCATTGTAAGCGTATATTAACACAGCACTTAAAGTGTTAGAGCCTGCTGTAGTGTGGGTGTCCGGCGCAATGTATGGACAACGTGGCGGCCAATGTTTGACCCAACACGTTTGGCTATATGGAATAATATCAAGTATAGTAAAATAAGAAATTACTCTTAGAATATCGGCATAGGTTGGTATGATGAAGAAATGTTTATGTCTTACTAAAAAACCAGATATACTTCGTAACACTTATAACGCCATCTATTAAAAGTAATCTGAAGTAGCGATTCTCTTACAAAATTGCATATTTTTAATTTTTCTATTTTTCAGCTAAACCTTATAGTTTTTTCTAGTTTTTTTTTTTTTTTTTACTTTTACTACTCAGAACGCCATCTATTAAAAGTAATCCAAAGTAGGGATTTCCATTCAAAATTACTGTTTTTAGTTTTTCAATTTTTCAACCTAATCTTATAGTTTTTTTCTAGCTTCTTTTTTTTACTTTTACTACTCACAACGCTATCTATTAAAAGGAATCCAAAGTAGGGATTCCCATACAAAATTACCTATTTTTAGTTTTTTAATTTTTCAACCTAACCTTATAGTTTTTTTCTAGCTTCTTTTTTACTTTTACTACTCACAACGCCATCTATAAAAAAATATACAAAATAGGGATTCCCATATGAAAATACCTATTTTTGATTATTCGATTTTTCACCTGAACCTTATAGTTCTGGTTTTTTTTCCTTTAAACCACTCCTGTATTATAACGAAACAAAAAAACAAATCAAAAATTAAATCGGCCAAGCCTTTATGAGTTTTAGCGACACTAGTGAACAACAATTGATTTATATATATTTATATTCCAAAATAAATTATATGACATCAAAATTTGTAAATATAATAATTAAATTATTGCAATTGTATTAATAGATATTAATTTATATTATATTATTATAATTGTATAACTCCAGCAACCAGATTTTTTTACCAAGAATTTAGATAGATAGATAGATAAACACTTTATTTGAGCCATTTATGACACACGTAAATTAATAAATAAAATGATACAATCTGATTATTTACATTTTTTCAAATATAAAACAACATATAAAACAAAAAATGAATATTGGAGATATGTTTTCACCAAGTGTGTCGCAGTGACCCAAAAAGGCTACAGCTCAGTGATACTTTTGCTTAAAAGCAAAGCACTGATTTTCAGCTGCAACCTGAAGTAAGGCTACACGGACGCGTGCAACAAACCCAGAGTGTAACCTGTGTAACCAATTTAATAGCAAAAGGTAAAATTATATTATATAGATACATACTTATGAATTTCAAATTGTTTTATTATAAGCGAAAGTTATTTTAATAAAAAAAAAACTAAGAACATATATATTTGAAAGATACAATATTAATACATACATATGAATATAAACCTACATAAATATAGGAATATAACTGTATCATTTCCCTTCAAACCATTCATAAATTGATACTCTTCAACAATATTTGGACCGCGTATGGCGTCTATATTATCTTTGGGTCTTAATCCTTCTAACTGCGTCTTTTGTTACATGAATAATGAATAACAATATGCAAATCCTAGGAAACAATAAACGTTTCTTTTCACAACTTGACATTGCTACTCTACTATTGACAAAACGGGTTTCGGAGTGTCATAAATATGTCGCATTTTTGCTAAATAGACAATTATTATAATCCATTGTTAAGAATGCCATACTTCCTTGACAGCAGTTAACAGTCGACCGATGCTCGGTTGGAATACACCGAGATTATAATGCAATTGAAACCGCTTTGTGTTGCCCTTTGTTTAAATAAATACATCTTTATTTTCAGGTAAGGCATAGAGTAGTGACCGGTTTTTTTTAACGTGTGGTAAGTTCTTATTTTTTTTTTTTTTTTTACTCTTATTGATACTAGGAATAACTGCTAAAAAATAGAGCGTGAAAGCGGAGAAAGATTGTTACAATGCGGGCGTTATTTTTAAAATTGTATATTTACAAGAAAGGTTAAAAAAATATATAGTTTTAAATCACTTCTTAAGAAATATAGTCTGTTTATTCCGACAAACTATATCCACGTTTTGGTTATAACCAAACTAAACTATTTTTTTTTTTAAATATCTTTGTCGTCAATTGAGGTTGTGGTTGAATAGGCTCAAGTTTTACGTAAAAAAAATCCATCGAGACGTCGGAAAAAAGATCTTTTTAAAATTGTTGCCAGAATATGCAGTTTCTTGCATATTATTCCACATTCATCACTCGTACACGCTCGCCGGTTACGGGTACTTTATAATAAGATAACACTTACACTTGCTAGAATCATTATTTATATGTATTTACTTATATATATATGTATTTAATTAAATATATATATATATATATATATATATATATATATATATATATATTTATTTATTTATTTATTTATTTATTTATTTATTTATACCTATCGGTACACTTTTCAATTGTAAAGACATTGGAATTGGCTGGAAGAAGTCTCTATTGGAGATAAGGCACGCCTTTGTTTATTATGTTTGTTTTTACATTTCAATAACCTTTTGTGTACAATAAAGAATCATAATTTTTAACTTTTTTTTCATTTAAGTCCAGGACATATCCTGTACTGTTTTATTATATAGGTTCTATTATATGCATAGTATAGACTACCATATATACTATATATAGACTATATATATAGTATAGACTATAGGCTTTTTGATAATGTTTTTTTATAATTTAAATGAATACTTTAATCTTAAAACTTATTAAATTAATAATTAATAATAATTGACATGTAAGCGAAATTATGTTTATTTTATTTTAATTTGGTTATGATTATTCTTTGTCTTGTTAATTGTATTGTCAAATATTTCCTATTTATTTGTAATCGAGTAATGGTAATAGCATTTGAATGTTTCGATGTTAATATAATTACCTGTTCTCAAATTGTTGCATGCCCGGTAGGGTATAACTGTTGATACTGATGTCAAATTCAAAGCAATGGTTACTGCTATATGTATGTACACAGTTAGCAATAAAATTCTATTCTATTCTATTCTAGAATAGAGGTAGACTTTGTACAAAAGTCGTTTGCTCGTCCACCTCTTGATCGTGTTTCTACCGTGAAGCAGTTGTGTTTGCATGGCTGTGTTTCAGTTTGAAGGGTGAGATATGGCGTGAATTTACAGGGTACAGAGGAATAACACCTGAGTCCTCAGGAATGGCAACACGTGGACAGTATCATGGGCGAAACAGTATACTCTGTTAAGTCCATGAGTCTAGCTCTAGTTTATAAGCGACGGTTACTACTTTCATCAGGTGGGCCGTCAGCTTGTTTGCCAGTCTAAGTTGCCTAAAAAAAAAACAAAAAAAAACCAATTATCTTGATTTTCCCTAAATATATTTTTAATTATTTACTTCATGAGAACTTGTTTAGAAACACATTTAATTATTTATTTTTATTTATATAAATCTATAAACGTTTAATAACAAAATGTGTAGATTAATTAATGCGTTGAATATTTAAAAGCTAGACCGAACTAATTTCACTAGTAAAAGCCTTTGGAAACAGTTATTATCTCGCCGATACCTAATAGGGGTGGGCGGTCTCGGCCAGGCCGCTCCGGGGTCACCGGGGTCACATAGACTCCGATAGAATTATGTTTCGATTGTTTTACATTCGCGCCGCGCCGCTATTCTTTTCACAAAATGAGATATTGTTCGATCCATCGAGAGGCATCGAGCATTTTTTAATCGATTGTCCGTTTTAACGATCGATTTAACGCGGTGTGAAGCGATGTGTACACGTTTCAACTCGTGTTCCCGTTACGTCATCCGTTTAAATGCCTGAATTACGAGTATATTTATAACTTCTCGTATAATAATAGACGTTATTACTTTAGTACTAATGCCGCAATAAACTCTCCGTCCGATACGAAATTCGCGCGGTGATAAATTAAAAAAAAAAAGGAACACAAACAGTCCCGTAATTAACTGAAGGTTAAACTGTAATCAAGATGTAATTGTATAGAATCGCTTTTGACCCGGGGCTGCTCGTAATTTAATATCTCTGGACTATTACAAACAAACTGGTACTAAGCTGCACTGTGGAGCGGCGCAGGCGCAACGGTCTAACATTTTTAATAACTAGTTTTTTTTTTTTGTGTGTTTATTTAAAATAATTAAACACACAACGATTTTTTTTCTTTATATGCTATATCATTCTCTCATTTACTCATAAATATTAAAATGTATATTTCTTTTTACTGTACGTTTAAAATTAAATTATTCTTTTTATTAGACACATTTTTACTATTGGTTTCAATATGAAATCTTAACATTACATTAAGCACCAAATAATTATGAATACAAATAAATTT